AATTAGTGATTGAAGTATCTAAGTAAATATGGGGGAAAAATAAGAGAAAATCAGAGAAATTTTTCTTGAAATCTGTTTTGTCTGACATTTACTAAGGTTTTTTTAAATATCAAATGATATTACTATGTGTTCTTCCATACACTGATTGTTTACTTCAGTTAAAAAGTCATATCAATTTATATTAGATGACATATAACATTGATGACAATCGCTGATAGACCATGAAAAAGTTTGATAATCATTATCTTATAATTTAAAAAAAGTAGTTTGAAAAAAGAAAATCACCACTGTGACTTGGGTTTATATCTTTTTGTGAGTAAACAGATATGTCAAGTTAGTATATAACGTTAAATAAATGAGAACACGTGAAAATAAGAATGATATTCATATATTTTATTTTATATAATCAAGATTTCTTGTCTAAATCCTGTTTATAAATGACATTTGACACTAATTTTATTGGTTGAAAATGAAATGATTCGGAAGTTTCATAGATAATACCGATTTAGATTTGTTTTTCAGAGGAATAATCAAAATCGAAATTATCAGAGATCTAAAATAAGTCTGTACTTGACGCTTCTTTAATCATCTCCAAATACTCTTTCATCCATAGCAAGGATGTTAGTTATTTTGATTAATATATTTTATTCGATTAGTTGGACCAGATATCTGAGTGAAACGTTGGAATTATATTTCAGTCACTAAAATTATTTCTAAATTAATTTTACGTTTAATGGTTTCTATATAATAACCTCTGATTTCCTATCCAGTTTTGTCTGATTTCTGGCGAGTGTTTATTTAAACGAATATAATTTGTTGAACAATTCAGAATAACAACCTGATTGAACTAATGTTTAGTCAGATAGTTGCTGGAGATTCATCCAGTGTGAGGACTGAGTCCCACATGGATATCCGAGGATCAAAGGAACATTAATGACTGATGATGCCTAATTGTCATACGGCTAAGGTAGATACTGTTGATGCTATCTTGTGACGATTGTTATATATTGTGAGTTTTCTGAAGTTGGAAATACAAGGAATTGAAACTAGATTCAGTACTGTTAATAAGTCATGCTCATAAAGAGAGCTGAACTTTCACAATCTGATTTTACGTACAGTCATCTGTATGTCCTGTTGTGAGGTCTCAAATCAGAACGATTTACCAGTTCAATACTTCATGGTTTTCACTGGTTCACTAGCTATTGCCATTTACTGAAGAAAATTCACCTTATATCACAATCAACGTGAAAGATTTGATCCAAGAAATGAATTGTAGAAATAAATATATACTATGGCTTTTTTTTATAGTTTTTCTTATAGTAATACTTAAGAAAATTCTATCACTAGTATTTTTTTCGGCGGTGAATACCTCACCACTTCTTGAATTCTGTTTCGTTCAGTCAAGAACGTTTGTTCCATTTAAATAGCTTTCAGTAAAATGTTTATTTTAAACTTCTCTAGTTAATCAATTGTAGTAAGACAGACTGTTGAAAAATCGTTTCAATTTATAATACATGATACAGAAGAATTGAAATTTATAAATTCTGAAATGTGTTGATAAATCCGGTTATTGTGTAAATTTACTTTCATAGTGTAAACTAATGAACGATGTTAAAATAATTTATTCCTGTGTAACTGTGTTAATGGAACATAAATATGAGGACATAGTTTATCCACTCAAAACTAGAATGAATTTCTAAAAGCTTTTCTGTACTATAATATATATGCTATGTATAACATAATATGTTGTTCAGATAATGAAAAATCGTTATAATAGTGTTCTGAATGAGAACACCAGTGGGGGACAATCGAGTGTATTTGAACACAACATTACAGTACATCTTAGTAAAATCTGAGAACCATACAGTAAATACTTAATTTGCAAAATATAAGTCAGTCGTCTCAGACTTCATTGTTCCTACATTTTTATACCAATTGCTTTCTGTTCCCGTTCTTTCCTTCCCGACGTTCTGCTGCCAGACATTCTAATCCTGACTATCGTTATGTACTACTCATGCCGATATAAGTAGCACACACCACAATAGTCCTTTAATCAGTCAGATCAGAAATCAATTACTCGAACTATCATTAGGTATAATTAATTGTTTTATATCACACTGAATCCGGAATAGTTATATAAAGATTAGTAAACAGAGTTTGTAATTAAGTCTGTGCCCTCTTATGTCCGTTAGATATGATCACTGATCATATACAAACTTGGAAAATTTTAACTATCCGATCTCAAATATCTTCCAAGTTGTAGACAACGACTAGTGTATTTATAAAAAAATAAAAATTTTGACTTTATATCGATGAGAATAATGCGTGGTAACTTTTGGGATCCATTTATGGATAAATACTATGCGGATATTTTTATCGTATAATTGTTAAATACCTAAACTATTCATATACCTGTTTCTTTTATTGTTAGCTTTATTTTGACCTGCGAACCATTATTACACGATTTACCATTCTTGAGTTATGCCCAGTCAATCAACCACTAGCTCTCACATTCACGGACACTTTCCCCTAAATCTTGTACAAATGTTGTTTCTTATTTTACGGTACGATGTGATCTGTTTGGTTGGTATATAAACCCAGTACGTTTGAAGTAAATGGTTCATTTCTTAGAGGCTGGGATTGGTGTTCTGGACTTAACAGACAGGACTAGGTGGGAAGCAGGACCAGTAAGGACTCTAGGGTGCTCGTACTTGTTTTATGCGTCATTGGTTTGGTCGATAATTCACTATTCCCTAATTAGCAGTATCATCACGTTATGCATTAATAGGACAAAGGGCACAAGTTATAACAGTTAAATTACAAATGAAGTAGCACAATTAAACTACGACAGTTCACTGAAAAGTATATTTTGTATGTTTTGTTGTGTAACTAACTATTACAACTTTTAAATAAAAATTTTAGATCCAGTCCCTTGATATAATGGCTTGACTTTTATTATGATAAAATAATTATGTCGAATTTAAATACTTTGAACATATTCAAAATAAAGTTCGTCACAGTAAGAGTTCTTTCGCGAACTATAAAATGTAAACTAAGGTTTGTTTCCCTTTTAATGCGTTTTAATAATATTAACTTAATCTTTGGTTTTATGCCACTGTTATAAGGGATGGGAACAACGCTAGTAACTGAAATTCACCAGTGCAATGATGGCGAAAACTTGTTCCTTAGTGGAATGATTTTTGAAGTGAACGGTTTTGCGTAATGAACAGTTTATTCACAAAGATTTTCTTTTCACTTCACGATACACCCCTAAAACCTCATATTATATAAATTTTTCCGTAATAAATGCAATAAGCAGAAGACAGCTCGTCATAGTTATTGGGTGGTGATCATTATTTTTACCCACCGACCAGTTTATTAACTGTAATACTTCAAACAATTATATCGTCTTCTTGTCTGACAAATATCGAACATTATTTCACAATGGTAGGCCGCGTCTAAATATTTCACCAAGTTTCAAACTATCTAACAAAGGGAGTATTATAACACTTACTCTACATTTCTAAAGGCTATTAATTCTGATTAATAGAATTTAACATGTGTATTTTAAGAAAGTATGTTCAGCCCCTCTATTTACCTTTATTATTTTATTGCATTTATTATAACTTATCTCTTTATAGCGAGTTTTTTGCATTTCAATTTGATTGACAGGACTCAACCAGCACTAAATGTTAGACAAACGTGATATTTGTTGTTGCTCAGTGACTAATCAATCTATATATTGTTATCGCGACTGACATCTATTATGTATGAATCAATAGACCCAAGAATATATTTATACAACATTGTACTGATAAAAATATTGAAATATGTCAGTTAAACAAATAGTCAAACGAATATTGAATAGGTTATTTTAGTGTACAATCAAAACTGATGAATTTTTAATCCATACCATGAGTAAGCAAGGAATAATAGAATGTTTCCGACACTGAAGTTACCAGCTTCTTCAAAGAAAAATAGACTGAAAAATGATTGATGAACTTCAATAAACCAAAACAAACTAATGGATAAGGATTGATACATCATCCAGATGGTGATTAAAATCGTTAGTTTATGCAACTGCATTTAGCTAGTATTGTTCTAATTAGAAGTAAGACAATATCGAAATTTCGAAGAGTAATTAGACAACAGTTTTATGTCATTTGGAAGCACTTAAAAAACTCTAGATCTTGAAACTTTAGTAAACAACGTTTTTTATACTCAACATTAGATAATATTGAGAATCGATGACGTTAAGATGACTGCAATAAAGAAAATGTTACTGCATTCTGCTTCATAATTATTCAAGTTTCAAATGACATAAACCCGCTATTAGATTATTATTTAACTAGATTATTATTTCGTATTCGTTATTTGTAGACTGACGTGGATTATTATTTGAAGATTTGTATAATTTGTGTGTTGTTTTCGTTACAGATAGTAAACAGCTGAAGAATTAACCGAAATCATAAGTTCTTAAAGAGCTTGTTTTGTCTATTTACAAGAGTTTGGATTTATGATTTTACTTTATCAGTTTCCCCCAAAAGGCTTTATTCACACTGAATAAGTTAATAACTATCTGGATTCTGTAGCTTAGTAGAAAACGCATTAGTGTTTGGAACAAAATGTACTTTCTTGGAATCTCAATGGGAACATCAATAGTAGAATAAATCAATATCCAGTTGACGAGTACTAAATAATGCGAAATCCGGAGCCTTGATTTAATTGCTGACCAGAGTCGAATTTTACTGTAACCTATTTTATTCTGATTGAAGTTTCATATCATGAGCTAACTTCAGTTCTAGTTTGAAACGGACTGGTATTCAGGATCAAGGATCATGAACACAAATGAGCTGAAGACCATTGTTTGTCATATAAAATGAAAAGTGGAAATTGCTGAGATCTATAGTGTTAAAACAATATGATAATTTTAATGTATTTTATCCTTATAATGGTTCTCAAGCTACTTGTAAAGATTTATAAAATCATTTTCATAAATCATGAGACTTTTTTTGTCTAGTGAATATTATGGTTATTCATATTCTTCTTTTTTTAATTTTTGCAGATCAACAACATTCTCATCATCTTCATCAGTGGATATGGAACCTGGCTTCAAATTAATACTTACAGCAATAACTGATGGTAATTTATTAAATTCATGAGATGAGTGTTGGCTTATATTCTGGTTGGCTACATGTGTATAACAGAATAGCTATGGATTTAACATAATTAATTTTTACGTTTTTTTCCACATATATCCTCATTAGATGTATACCTGTGAAAATAGTAAATAAAATAGTGGACGATCCATCGAGATGTAGGGAAATTGAACTTGGTGAAATAGCTTGTAAAAATTGTGGTAACTGAACATAAAGTGACGAAATTTAATAATAATAATGTACCAAACTGGAACAATCCAATGTTTTCTTTGTTTATCAAAATTTATTGACTTGAATGAAACAGGTCAACTGTTTTACATGATATTTCATTCATAGTTGTTGATGTTGATAAGTAATAGGAATCTTCTACCTAAAAGAGGATACATACTCAAACACTTATCACAGAAGCTAAATTAAATCGAATGTTGCCACCAAATCACATAACATACAAATAAAAAACAATGTGAACATCAATAATAAACTGTTGAGGTCTGTTATATTTGTTATCTGTATTCCGATCATGGAATAAAAATTATACGGATGTATTCATTCTACAATTACTGATAAATGTATCAGTTATTAAGTGGCCATAACTGTGAAATCCACCGAGATTCAATTCATTCCTGGTAACTGACCAGTATACTTCTATTACTTCTGCTAATAGATAGATTTAAGATATCACATTTACATTTAATTATGTCCATTCAACACTTGACATTATCACCTAATAATCACATCTCAAGAGAGAGAATTATAATCTCAGGTGGTAAATTGTAGTTTTTGAAAATAATTAATGGTGATAGTCATGACATTTGCATACGCATAATCTATAACTTTTAATATTACCTTTTACATTCCAACCAGAATTCATATGGAATAATGATGATAGTTCTTGACATACAATATCCTTTGAGAATTGTTGTTATTGTTATACGCGTTTATACAGTCACAAAAATGTGTTATATTATCTACAGTAATGCAAATCACTTCTCTAGTTTTCCTAATCGAAACCCTCTATTTAAAGTAAAGTATACTATGATAATATCAAAAATATAATATGAATTTCTAACATAGAAGATAATTTTCCTTGAATTCGTTTATTTGATTAACTGTGAAAATTCTAGTTAAATAACATATTTTTATGATTTTAAAACAAAGTGAATTATGCTTTTAAACTTTACTGAAGTAAATATCTATTTCATTTTTAAATGATAATTTAGTAATATAATAAAAGTAACTATAGGGTAAATTCTGCTGTGAATATTGGTAATACTTGTATTGAATGAGCACATGATTTCGGCAGTGTTAATTTCTCGAAACTGAATAATTTATTCATGGAATTGTTTATTGTTCCAAATTCACTTAATATTGTTTACTTGTATCTTCTCATTGTTGTTTAGGACTGCGATTGATCAGTCTCTTGTTGACATATGTGCATCCCGTGTGGATTACTTCAGTATTGCCTTAAGTCGCAAGCTTTATAAGCAAAGATGAATAGTGGTTATTAGTGGAATCCAGGATGCGCTTTTCGTCCTACTTGAAACTCGTCTGCTGGATGTACCTGCATCTCAGAGTCGAGTTTCGGAGTGAACATCAACAACATCCATCTTTGCTTGTAAAGCTTGTTTATTGTTCCGTTAGAAAACAATTTTAACAAAAATGTCATATATAAATGAGATTTTAGAGTTTCTTTACAAATAACTAACGGATTTTCCTGTCAGTATAGAACGTTAATGACTGTAAAAGTAAATTTTTCACTAGCAGATTTTTTAGCTTAGATAAGCAAAGCAACACTGACAAATTTCTTAAAAAAAAATTTCTCTCACCATTTTAACACCTTAATCAACTTGTTTGGTAACACATCGTCACATTGGACAAGTGATCACTTTATTTTCTCCTCTTTGCACAGCCGATATTTTAGTTTGTTCTTATAAAATTTAGTTTAGTATCGCTATTGTATTCGACCTCCAAGATCCAAGTCTGAACACCGACACTTAACTAAGAATAATTAAAGTTATGAGTTTTTATCTTACCTTTAATACACGTACTTTTGATATATCTGTTTCTATCCGACACGGATTCGCTCCACTGGTCACGGCTTTTCCCGAGAATTTCGAGAATTTCCTCACGAAGCTAATCACTAGTGATCACATGGCAATTAGCAGTATAGGGTTGTGAAATATTTTTCGCATAAAACTTTAGGCAACCGTCATATAATAAGTTTGTATTTTCATTTTTATTAAACTTATGTAACTTCCACATCTCATTATTTAATATATATATATATAACCACAGTCAGTATGTAGGTTCATATAAACCGCTGATTTGAAAAAGTGAATGATTCTTTTAAAATATGTCTATTAGTGATAGTTGAATTGATTTTTGAAAACTTTACCATCCGTCAGGTTGAATTTCTATATTCAAAACATTTTTTTCGCGAAATACATCAAACTGTTTTGCGTGCATTAAACATATTTCCTTTAATTTTTTTTGCTGTTGGTAGAATTACCAATTATGAAAATTATTCCATTAATTAGACTTTTGCATTTTAATTGTTGTTATTTAAATTTACGGTAGAAACAAAGTTACTTAGATGAAGCTGATAGTTCATTTGATGATAATTATGTTTGTTGTTCACTTTATATACTTTTTTTTCCATTGTACACTTAGCTATACATAAATAATTTAATTTAATCATTAATCACTAACTACGAATTATAGATTGAGAATTGAATGGAATTATTAAAAGTTTCATTTTATAATCATAAACAATTTTCAGTTTTGTTGCATAGTTATTACTGTTTTTCAGTAGGTTATTTTACAATTCAATTCAACATTCTTATTCACAATTAATTGGTTATAATGTTGGTCATTTACTTATGTCAATAAAATGGTTGATATCATTATAGGGTTGTGGAGATTACCAAGTTTTTGATTGAGATCATGAACTGATTGATTTTAGACCACCATTGAAAAACTGAAAGCATTGTACGGTCGTTTCGTCCTATTGTGGGACTCCGCAGCAGTGTGCATCCACGATCTCGCTCGCAGGATTCGAACCCACGTTCTTAGGTCCCGCATGTGAACGCTTAACCTCGGTTCGTGATCCTAATCAAAAAATTTAGTAATTTCCACAACCCCATACTTATAATTATCGTGTGCTCACTGTTGACTAGCTTCGTGAGGCGATTTTCGGAGTTCTAGGGAAAAGCCGAGGCCAGTGGAGCGAATCTGTGTCGGGTAGAAACAGGTATCTACCTCAGTACAATGGAAGATGGTCCCGCAATTTTGCGGATCGGTTGAGGTAAGATATTAACACCATTGGATGCCAGCTCAGTGGTCTAGAGGTTCCTAGGCTCAAATCCCTGCTGAGGTGTACCAAAGTAGGACGAAACGACCGTTCAATGCTTCCAGGTTTTCAATGGTGGTCTAAAATCAATCAGTTCATGATCTCAATCAAAAACTTGACAATCACCACAACCCTATAATGATATCAACCATTTTAATGGCATAAGTAAATGACCAACATTATAACTTCATTTAACAGCATCTACGTTTGACTTCTTATATAAATCTAACTAATGTAAACTTCAGTGAATAAGTACAATACATCAAAATGACTCTGTAAAACGACTTCAACAGTTGACTTTTTTTAGATGCTTAAACTGTAATAAGTGATTTTTTCATGTGAAGTTTAATTGAAAGTGAGATTTTAATGGATCATTTTCTTGAAATAAACGTATGATCATTGTTTTTGAAAACCGTTTATTTGATTGTGTACTAATACATTCATTTTTCTGTTATGTTAGGTTTTAGCTTTTTTATGAGATAATTTTTTTATTTAAGTTTAGCCAACGTCGAACAAATAACAGTCAGGACCATTAAAAATAATAGATAGTCGTATCTAGTGACTATACTTCTGATGAATGCCATCTGATAAAAGTATTGCTTTTTAACAGTATTCTAACAGAACAAGAAGAATTACTTCTTCTTTTTTGGCAAACAAGGTGGTTTTACAAATAATATAAATATATACAAAACATTAGTCAGTTATTGGCTCACTTACTGACTAATCAATTATGTAAGTCACTGTTGCACATGTTTTGTTCAGTAAGAATCATGATATATAATTAATAACTTTATGGCTTATAGGTCAGACAAATGAACTCCAATTCAATTATCTCAAAACATAGTGTTCTCCTGTAAAATATGGGATATCCTGGATTCGTTCCGCGCATTTTACATAGTTGGTTAGTGATGAATACTTGTTTGGCAACCTGTGATATTGAAATAGGTTAGAAACGTTTGTGCACCATATCCCTGTACTGCTACAGTAAAAACTTAAGGAAAACGAAAACATAACGTCTGTATGATATAACACTATTTATATTGTGCGATCATCTTCCAAGGCTAAATTAATTTTGATCACCGTAGTTCTTTTGAACTGCATACTTTTGTTCCCGCTTATGATATACGCACATTTAGAACGCCACGTAATCTGACTAGAGATAAGTTGTTCTCATTAGAGAAAAATGACCTCTTGATATCTAGTTCAATACTTAATGATTAATGATTAATTAAATTAAATATAATTTATGGGTACATTGATAATGTCATACACAATCCACTGCTATAATATATTAGTACTTTCTGGGAGAAAAAGATTTTCTTCAAAGGGTTTATCGTTTTTGTTTTTGTCTCAGAATTATATTAAAGTTGTTTTTATCAAATGATCGATTTCACTTTAACAGTTCCAAAACAATCACAAATTTTCGATCCACAAATCTAAACACAAATTAATCAATATTCGCTACCTATTATCCCGCTGACTTTACCTTGTTGTTGATCTATCAAGTTGAGATATGAATATTAAGGTAATTGATTCGATGTCATTGTGAAAAGTTTTAGACGTTAAATGGTAGAAGGATTCCGTAACTGTATTTCATTACTAAACTTAATCATCGCCCGTGGTGATTTAAAACTCTAAATGTTTGGTAAGAACATATACCACTAAATAGTCCCAAATATCTTTAAAAGTAAGGTTATAACCGAATTATTTGTCAATAAATGAGTTATTTTAAAGTAGTTGATGTGATCAATTTACAATGAGAGCCATTTCATTCGAAACTATGTAAGCCAATATATTTCTAATCGTAACATGTATTAAAGGTTTTAAACTAGCATTAACGTGATTAACACACTTTTGGCGCTCATAATAATCAACTTCTCAGTCCTAGGTTTCAATGATCAATAAGTTCTTTTGTTAAATTTTGTCCAGTGTGTTGTGAGTTTAGGTTCGGCTTTTTATCACGTGATTTATCCACCAATCAAAATACGACTTATACAATCTTAGCACTGTGCCAAACCAATGACGTTCGACCGGTATGGGTAGCCTAGCGTCCTTATAAGTCCTATGTCCGCCTAGCCCGTCCACTTGAGTCCAGAACACCAATACCAGCTTCCACTATGCGAATCGAATCGTTTATTTCAGACATACTGGGTTTATATATCAATCAAACAGACCGCAACGCACCATAAAATAGGAAATAACATTCATACATAATAAAGCCAAAAAGTGGCTGTAAACGTGGGAGGCAGTAGTCAATAAACTAAACATAGCTTAAGAACAGTAAATCGTACAATAATAAATTATAGGTCAAAAAAGCTTATAATAAGAGGAATATGAACATATATAATCTAATTATTAAATAATTATACCATAAGAATGTATAGATAATATTAGTCAAATAATATGTCTCAGAAGTTACTCGTGATTTAATCTTCGCTCGGATATAACATAGTGGGTGTTGAGCAATAATACTAATAATACCAATATCTTTGCTACTACTTAACGAACTACTATAAAGCAGTCGTTTCTTAGAAAACTACGTAAGCATAATGAGCAATATTAATCATTTTCATACTTTTATCAAATGTATTCGTATGTCATCAAAACATCTGTTTATAAACGAATATTTAAATTTGCGCAGATTTTTATTGAAGTTTAGCTCAATCACTCCATTTGTCTAATTTGGTTCTGAATCCTTTGTAAAGCTTATTGATCTCTTTCATTGTGTTTTCTGGACAAATGAAGAGTTTGTAATATCAAAATATTCGTTTTGTTCAGCAAATAGTGCCTTAAAACAAACAGAATAGTTGAAATTAAAAGATATATGAATGTTGCTGAATAGGATGTAATTGAGAAGCTGTTGAGCTTAACTAAATAAAATAGAATCGAAAGATGATTTGTAGGAATTTCCTGTTTCATAGTACATTTTCCAAGAAAGTTTAAATAGGAATACTATAACAATATTGGCAAAATTATATTTACGAATGCGAGATACGAAACTTCAGATAAATTACAACAACAGTAAACAGATTGAGAGTAAAAGAAAGAATTTCCAAATAACATTGTTGATGTGTGGGCGAGAATGATATGGATTGGTTGTTTGCTTAGTCAGACATGTAGATTGTCTGACAGGTGTCAGATGAGTTGTATATTCCCCTATCCTTATAATAATTATTATTGATTGTTCATTATTGCTGGATTGCGTCAGGTTTCGGTGTGGAAACATATTTACGTTCTAGTCAGGTTAATCACGTGTTCTTGATCTGAGTTGTGTTGAAGTCCTGTAGAATAGACACTAGGAGGGAATCTAGTGTAGATATTCATCTAAGGTAAACTAACGTCCTACACATGTAAACGCGGGAGACCAACCGTTATAACAATTGTAGAATGTCATGACCTACTAATTTTGTAAATATTCAGATCAAATCAAAGTTTTCTGTTAACTAGTTATTTAAACAAGTCATATTAAAACTCGATTTTTTTGTCCGTTACTAATTCTAGAGGTAACTAATATAAAAGAATATACTTCGTTCATATATTAGTGTTGTAATTAATATTTCTACAATTGCTAATAAAAATGAAGATTATCTCAGTCTTAAATTCTTGAGCGTTTGTTTGTTAAACACGGTATCTAGATTTTACAACAACATTCGTATTACTAGATGCGCATAATGATGGTAAGAGGGTTAGTATTCCTTGATTTTTCACACATATGTTCATAAGAATATCTATTACGACCAGACCGGTTCATTTAAAGGGAACTGAAGCATGGAGTATGTTCCTTGAATATTGAACAAATGATGTCAGGCTTAATGGTAGTTGGGTGATAATGATCTAATCGCATATATAACAGTTTGGAAACATGTATTCATTGTAGATACTTGAGCATCGTTTGATCGCATGTAAATTATTGCTATCTGAGTAGACAAATCAGTAAGGTTTATGAGAAATAAATTATTATTGCATAATGTCCAAGTTCAAATTGAAAGCTGTACGTAGCTCTTTGTTCTAGTATTTTTGTAAATAATAACTTATAACTGTGAATCTAACAAATAATTTATCAAAAAGAGAATATTTTTGGTTTACATAACTGTTGAAGTATTAGTTGGTTGAAACGATCAACCTAGATTGACTTAATTCATTAACGATCGAATCTAAAAGAATAACTAAGTGCTTACAATGTTTGACACGCTGGTTTGTAGTTATACGGATTTAGTTAAAAAAAACTGACCGCTAAGAGGTTATTCAAACTTCATCTGGTTGTTATAGAACTAACGTATATACGACTAGACGCATTTTGATCAGTTAATCACTTTGACAGATCATGTTGTCCCAGTTTATATGGAGTTAAATTACAACTGGTTATCAACTGATTGATTGATAAATGGTTCGAAACAAATTCGAATGTCAGACTATATAAATAACGCAATGTTGTTGATGTAATTTTTATCTCCTTTTACAATTCACTTATTAAATATTTGAGCAAAACTCAGTAATAAAAACGAGCTTATGGTCCGAGGCGAAACAATCAGTTAGATTCTTCGAACAATAATTATAAAACGGAATCACCACTGTAACTCAACAAACCAGTGGACAGTACACTAGCAGATCTCGTAAAGACTAGACTTTTATCTTCTATTTATCTTTGAGCTACTGGATAATGAAAATTTCAGTTTCAATGAAATACGAAATAACAACCATACTATGAGAGAAAAAACTTAGTATTATCTAAATTTAGTGACTTCTAATTTAGTTATTTATTATCTTTGTCAATTGAATGCCACCAGTATACAACTAATTTAAACTATCAGAATTATTTGTTCTTTTTCGATGCATAAATATGTATTTTTGCATCCTACAGGTATTTTATTATATCGAACGTCAAACGACGCCGAAAAACTAGGTTACAGATTTAGGCCACCAAAAATAAAGAAGAAACCAAATAATCTACATTGTGAGCTTCCCCTTCTTCCAGATATATTAGAAAATGCTTTCAATTTAAAATAAGCATAAATAATCATATGATTTCTTTCATATTCTGATGAAAAATAATTTTTTTAATCTACAGTTCTCACAATTTCATCTTGTTTGTATGTATTTCATTTCCGTTAATAGAACTAACTTCCTTTTAAAAGTAGTTTACCAAGTGAAACTGATATGAAAATGAAAAATGGTGAAACAAGTATTTTTCACAATGTGATTTCCTTTCTGTTTTGATTTTTACGTTGGAGTTATTTATAAAATGTTTGAAAACATTGAAACTCAGAATAGCGATAGTTAAGTTGATATATATATATATATATATATATATATATATATATATATATATATATATATATATATATATATATATATATATATATATATTCATGAAATTAACCATTGTATAGACTCAGAATATAAGTCTATATTGCAAGAAACCTTTTCTAGAAGATCAGTAACTTTTAAATTTTATACAGTTTTTTAAATTAAGGTCTTTTGAAAAGGTTGACTGTCTCAACTAAGAATAACACAACTATGCAGTAGAGTAGTAACCTATCTTTACAATCATTGTTTGATAAGCGTTTATAGTGCTAAGGAAATCAAGCCTATTAGACTTTTAATTAAAGCTAATTTTCTGAGAATTTTGAGCTTTATTTCTCCAAGAAAGTGGCATAGATACATTCAATGTTGTCTTCAGTTTCCCATTTCTAATTATCAATATCGAAAAGTCAAAAAGTGTCTGCATATACGGACAGTGCGATTGTGTATTACCTTATTGTTCAGTGTTCAATGATTTACACTCAAAGTTTTTACGGTCGATTTTTAGCAATCTAAAAATGAAACTTAAAATCTGTTCGTTTGTTCATTTTTTACTGCATAATGTCTTAAAGATTTGCTTAGGATGTTGAAAACCCAAGTATCGTATTAGTCAAAATTATTATAAATTAGAGCCCATACCAATAACATCAAATCCATCAACTTTAAGATGATATTTACCACAGTTGATAGCTCCATGCATAGTTTACACGTTCCAAACTAGCCTACTACAACACTAAAAAAGCCAGTTAAGTGTCTTGTATATTTAAGACAACTAGCGTTTTTATATGTTTAGAAACTCAAACGACAACACACCAAAAATAATACATTATATCACGTACATAACAGCAGGACTATGATATAGACCTAAACAATACACCGATTGGTCAATTTACCGTAGTAAAAGACAGTAACACTTCATAGATAAACAAGTATCTTACAACTTAAAGTATGAAGAATTAAAAAAAGCTAATTGTTTAACGAGTACATATAAAGATATATATGTACAAACTGATTTCCATGGGAATGGTTTCCTCAGTTCTATAATTTCTTTGGCTGAATTTTTCTCAACTGACATATAAAACGTTAAGGTTTCAGTTGAAGACTAATGTAAACAATAACCTCGTAGTTAAAATGCTATTCATTGCCAACTAGTAATATCAATATTACTTTTGATAAGAGCGTAATTTTTCTAAAAAATTTTAGTTTATTTAGTCATATAGTATTATTCAATATAAATATTTATCATAATAAACTGTCTTTGTTTCAACTAACCTTTCTTCAAGCAAAATCTACAGGTGTTTGTGAAAATAATGAATTCTTTTGTGGACATATATCAGTGGAACCATCTCAGTTATCATATATGCACAGAAACAAACGTTTAATAACCAATATACTAAACTCATCTGATAAAACAAACTATTCCACTGATATTCAGCCAATAACTACTAAACACATTTTACAAAACATTGTTCAAAATAATTTATCAAAAGTTAAATCAGTCAAACTAAAACAACGTCGATCATCCAAACGTAAAGATTATGGTTATTGTATTTCAAGATTACTTCAATGTGATAGTATTGTACATTGTCATAATGCAAGAGATGAGTTACCTAGTTTACGAATGAATCCATCAGATTTACCTCATCAGTTATTACATGCATTAGTTGGTGCTTATCTTACTCCTGCTGATTTAAACAATGTTGGTTGTACAGTATATAAATTAAACAATGATCCACTTATAAACAATAATAATAAATACACATTAGTCAAAAGTTTATCTCCTAGCTCACAAATGGAAAGTAAGTTTTTAAACTGCTTTTATTATTAAACTATACCTAAACAACTTTATGCATATAATTAGAAGCCTTTTTAATTTATTCTCTGAATTCATTATGTGTAAATTTGTTCATTTAATAAGAACAAAAATATTCTTTTCATTATGTCACATTTCCTAATCTGGATGATATAATAGCAATGCCTTCTATTATCATTCTGGACAATAGTGTCTATTTGAGAAAAGGGTGAGTTTTTAAAAAAAAACTGAATAAAGTTAAGGATAGAGAAAAATTTACGAATGTTAGAAAAGTGCAAAAACATGGAGTTTATGTTTGCCCGTACGTAATGCATTTGGTAACATTAATCCTTTATATATCATTCAACGCAGATACAGTCACTCGCTTATATTGTTATAATGCTTATTTGGGATTACAGTTTAATAGCTTAAGAACTCAGTAATGTTATTAAGCAAAGGATATAATACAATAAAACCCTACATCTAATATGATTTACTTTAAATAAAATATTTGATAATTTTCGTTAAATAGCTGAGAACATTAAGTAATATTTATTGTTATACGGAAATTGATTTTACGTGGATAACATAGTCCAACAGATTGTTAATTGTTGTTTAATTGGGTTGTTGAAAAAATACACAAAAAATATGGACCGTAAGCCTTAGTCTGTGTTCGATAAAAAAATCAATGAACACTTTGTCGAGAATGACGTATATAGGATCATCGTAAATACTTTATTTTTGAAAGTAACTCGGTTACCAATTATTATATTCTGAGTAATTTATTGTAGCAAAGATTTTTCAACTAATATTTATATAAGAGATTTACTTTTTGTACGAAACTACATTCAAATCTTATGATGGTACAACATTATTTGAAGAATATTTATTTTATAAAGTAAAACAAAACTGTATAGTTATGACGCTATCATATAAATGACACTAGCACTGTAACCACAAGTGATGAACAAAGCAGTTGTTAACTCAGTGTTTAGCGCACTGTTTCTTACGAATAGGTCACAAATCTAAACAACACCCCACCTACTTACATTCGAGTACTCGGATAGTATTAGTAACTATAATATAAACAGTGTAACTCACAAAGAAGTATACAAACCCGTACCTTATAAACGGATTACATTTAAGTTCCTTTTTTCTCAAACTTATATTTTGTATATTAGTTGGAGAAATTATCGAAACCTAATTATCAGTTGTTAGTGAACTCCTTTCAAAGTATACAAAACAGAACTCCAAAAATCTGTCTTTTTCCTAATATAAAAGTACTGGGTTTTGTTGTCAGATGATTTACAATAAGTGATAAAATCCACTCGTGAATAAATGTGAAATGAGATTTTCAGCACACTAATAAAAGACTGTGATGTGTGAATTCGGCAAATTTTCGAGTAAGGAGATAACTCGTTTGACTATTCTTTCCTATGAAATTGCTCAATTGTATTATTTGGTATGATATATGAATTACTGAGAAGGTTTACACTAAAACATACCATGATTTTAGTAAATATCCCTGTCGGTTCTTGCTAGACCATCACTTAATATAATTTCGTGTTGCAGTTGAACAAATAATATAACCACCAATTTGTTTACTCAGAAAATCAGTTGTCTTGTTATTCGATTCGAAAACTCAAAGTTGAACGAGAATGTCCTACTCTGATGTGATAAACTATGTTGAAACTACAAGATATGTGTTACTAAATCCTTAAAATTTAACTCAATCAAATTTCTTGGAGAGCATTTTAAAAGACTGTAACATAAAACTAATAGTAGTTATTCAACATATAAATAACTGACAAAATAAACGATGTAATTTGATTTGACAGGGAATCGTCAAAATTAATGCCATTAAGAATATTATAACCATTTTAAAATCCAAGTACACATAGACATCCTTTACTAATTCTATATCCTCATAGCTAGATAGTCTTAGAGATATATTTATTACTCACCAATGTATTTTGGTTAGCACTTTTGCGTTTTCCATCAATCATCTATTTCTTCATTTAACAATTACCACAAGTAATAATTAATTGTTCTTACTTAAGTTACTGTTGTTTAACTGAATACCTGAGATTATACTAAATGATCTGGTGTGTAAAATCACAATATGAAAAATTGACTGAATGCATGATTAATGTGTGCTATCCAAACTATTTTTTTTGCATATACTTTTTTCATCACACCACTGTTCAACCTTATCACTCCTATCGATACACTAATTTATGTTATTATGATAGGTAGTCTAACGAGAATACAGTATTTCTATCGAATTCATTCTGATTGGGCAAATTTTTTCTTGTGACAGTTTTGGTGAAATATTCTTATAACCACTCAAATCAGTGGTTATAAGTGGGGTAAGTAAAAAATGGGAATTTTTCTGTAACAATCCTCCACACGTTCACTTATTTCCCATACTTAATTCCATATTGAAAACAACCTAATGTATTTTAGGCTTTCGCTTTCAGATTCAGTAATTCTTTGTGATTTATTCTCCCCCCACCCCCCACTGCACTTATATGCATCCAGTGTATATCATCTTTACAACGATTGTTCAATTTGTTTTTGTTTTCCGTAAATCCAGGAAAAAAACATATGTTAGTGTATTATCATTTATTACAGTAGGCATTTTGACAATTCGTTGACTAACTACTAGTAATACATTTAAGATATACAAATAAACTGATTTTTTCTACTTTAAAAGAGAACTTTATAAGGTCACAGGAAAACACGATCAATTTATGCTAAGTTATTCAGTTTGTTTGTTTACGAGAAATGGGCAACCATGCAAGACTGAATGTTCTCCTCATGTTTTATTAAGTATTATGATTATATCTGAAGGCCAATTTGACATTTTGTATGTTTATATACAATACAATTAAACAATTGTTGTAGAATAATAGAATGTTTCATTGCACCAATAACGACGATATTCGAATTGTAAAATATAGTCCTACAGATAGTTTTGTAGTAGTTTGCATCATTATTAAATACTATTCAAAGAACCCCTGAGCTTCGTTTTTATGAGAACTTACCGACTGTTTCAGTTGTTTAGAAATCTATTTTATTGAATTTCAGACTATTTTAAATCAAACACAATTGTTAAAAGGTGATTTAAGCGGAGAACGGCAAAATTTTTTGAAAAGTCGTTAAAGGTTCCGAAAAATCAAAATAGTAAAAACAAAGAATACTATTCAATTTCAAATAAATAATGGACTTATCACTATGGTTATAAATTTACTGTGGTTTTGTGCACGAGTGACGACTGCACACTTTGGTAGATTTTATAATTATCAACCGCTAGATTCAATCGATATATAATTGAATTGACGTGGACATCAATTAATCTTCTTTAATCTCTCCCAGTAAATTTCCTTTTTAAGACTCATCTCCTCAGGCCTGCAAGGCTAGAAGAAAAGAGACCTGTAGTATATGGTATTAAGGTTTTGCCACAATTATTATGGCTACCTCACGACATATGATTATTACAGTTATACTTTGCATTAATATCGTTTTATTTCATCTCACCTTTCATAATTTTCTAATTTTCTGTTATTTCAGAGTGTAGCAACTTGAATTAATCGACCATTTCTTCCTTTACATTCATTCATCATCTAACATTCATTCCTAACCTAAATTACACACATATTACCCTACATAAAAACGTTGATTCAGGATAACTTGTAATAAAATAATTTTTTTACTCTCAGGGGAAATTCATTTCCTTGTATGAGTATTCGCCATAGCGGAATATAGGCATCTAATGTCATCGTCGTTCATTTTAACATTGAAATAATCACCTAGCTTTTAAATAAATCTTTTATTGCTGTACATCGGTATCCCTTTGTTGATAGCCGACAAAGCTTATAATCTCCAGTGAACGAGTATAACAGAATAAAAATAAGATTGACGGACTGTTTATTTCATAAAACCATTTATCTATACACGAAAACTATATGATGAGGTTTACATGTACAAAAGATTTTTCAGGTGTAAATAATCAAGAGTTATTACTGAAACATTAAGTTAAACTCAAATGTAAACCTATTTTTGATCGTTGTTACATATATAAAGTATGTTCTACATAGCTGAGTAATTGAAACAAAAGCTAACAACTATGCATATAAAACTGCTAGGTTTGAAGCTATTACGAGTTTACTTAGCATGCGAACGGAACAAAGACTTGTGACCGATGCGTCCCAGCCCAGCTAACTAGAGGAAGAATTCCAAGCTTGGGACGGGAAAGTATATTCCGTAAGCCAGAGACACGAGTGAATAATAACAGACACAAATCAAACATATATATGCAGCATAAAACTGTCCTTGGGAAGCGTAGGAAAAGTAGCGTTAAAGATTCTCCCAAGTGGGAAATACGACATGAAGGTGAAAAGTGCGCTTGTGGCGCGAAAACAAGGAAATTTAAATTTCCAAAATAAAATTATAAAATTAAGGCATTTACCAAGTGAGTTCTGGGGATCTAACATCCCCAACAAAAACTCCAAACAAACCATTTTTGGAAAGGATGTTACAGAAAGGATATAAAAACCGACAGAACAGTGGCTCACACCATTTTAGCATACAGAAATCGTAAAATTTGTGTATTTTAATCATCTTACTAATAAGTAAGTAGTACTTAATTACATAATTTTTATGTTCATACACTTGGTGATAAACTAATATCTTGTTATCTTATATAATTCTGGTAAAAGTAATCTGAAAATCTCGGTATATTTTGGGAGACTATCTCCTTGTATTTGCATGTTAAGTTCATTTTTTTATACAGTGATTGTTAAATAAACATAGAGTTTTACACATTATATACATTTTTAATTTACCATTTTTAACATTTAACATTAGCTCACTAGCATGCTTTATTTTATGCTTATTTAAAATAACGCAATAATTATGGACTTATAACTGCAGGGTCCGATCAAAAAGTTAATGAAAGCAATCGTTTAGTTAAATATTCTGTGTTTTTGAACATCTTTAAGTTTTAACTTAATTAACAAGTTTGTATTCGTGTACTTAATAATGAGACGGGATGTTTTAAAATGCGTACGTCAATGATAATACTTGGCTGGTCAAGATGAAATGAGTGGAATGGTGTTTAGATCTACTATTTATTGGCTGAAAATGGAGTACTGTGACTAATAAGCCAACATTCTCTCACTTCAATTGTACGAATATAAAAATGTCTGTATACTGAGATTTTCTGAAAGTGAATTTATCTGAGAAACGGTTGTACTCTAGTTTTAATACTTCATACTCTGATTAGTTACTGAAGTAACTGATTTTAAATCAGAGCTCATTAGAATATGTATACAATTTTGATTCTATTTTCGGAACTACTGTCCGTATTAAACAAATTGTAAACCTTAGAGAGAAAACTTTAATTCCTATGCTAGATCTTCTTTCAGCGATAGCTAGTAACAAACGAACGTGTCTTCAAACTTGACTTTTTCTTATTTCATCTAGATTTTATTTTTCCTTTTAAATTACTTGATAAATAAACCATGGCATATATTATTTTATTTTCTGTCACATCTATAGACAACAGAACAAATTTACCACCTTTTTTCCCAATCAGCTCAACAGCTAACACACTGATAATTGGATGTATTATACTAGTCTCTTTTGTTGTTATTGTATTTGCATATTCATGTTACCAATATTGTTATCGTAAGAAATTACGAACAATACAAATACCCAACAAGTCAATCGTTTACTGGTCATCGTTTAAAACAATGAAAGGATTAAATAGTATTTCACAAGATCATGTTAAATCTAACTTAACAACTCAAGAGCAAAAAACAGACATGAACAAAGAATGTTTCACACAAAATGGATTAGGAAAATATATGATAGGTCGTAGTGCAACTGATGGTACTTTAAGTACGCTTGCTGAATCCTACCCAGGATCAAATAAAAATGAAAAATGTACTTCAGATATCAATCAATCTTCCCTTTATGTACAAAATAGACCACTGATCCCCCAATCAATTAGTAGAAACTCACTTCAATCAAATGATTATAATTACCATAGCAACAACAATAATAATAATAGTACAAAAAGTGTCCATTTTGATGTACCTAATAGTAATGATAATAATAATAATAATAATAATAATAACAATATATCACAAAATTCAAACCAGTATTACAAAGCACCATGTGTGAATTCTATTAATCCGCAATGTTTCGGATCATATTGTGAAACGGTTCCTTTCATCAATCAACAACAACAAATTCAAATAAATTGGCAAACTAATTCTCAACAGTTAATATGCTACCCAATAATGAATAAAAGTGGGTTGGCTTCATTAGTTAGCACCTTTTATTTAAAATTATTTGTTTACTTTGGTAAATAATGATAGTTACATCTTACCATCAAATCATTGATTATCTAAGTAGAAATACTACGAGAGATCGTTGAAATTTTAAAAAATTTCAACTACGTCAATATACGAATTACTAAACATCAGGATAACGACCATTTGGTCCAGAGAGTGAAACTTATCAACTACGTTTTGATTTTTATGCGTAAGTCAGTCTAACAATCAACAGCACCACGTAGGAATGGATTGTCAAAGTTCTGTGCATAACAATCCACCATAGTTGTGTTATAAACTTACTTACTTACTTACACCTGTTACTTCCAATCGGGCATAGGCTGCCGACCAGCATTCTCCAACCCACTCTGTCCTGGGACTTCCTTTCTAGTACCATCCAATTCTTGTTCATTTTTCTCATGTCTCGCTCGATTTCTCGGCATAACGTGTTCTTTGGTTTTCCTCTTCCGAATTGGCCTTGAGGATTCCATGTAAGGGCCTGTCTCGTGACGCAGTTGCATGCTTTCCCCAATCTGTGTCCTATCCACTTACAGCGCTTTTTCCTGATTTCTTCCTGCGCTGGAATCTGGTCTGTTCTCTCACATAGTAGGTTGTTACTGATAGTGTCTGTCCAACGGATCCGAAGTATTTTGCGTAGACAACTGTTACTAAACACTTGTATCTTCTGGATAATGGCTTTCGTAGTTCTCCAGGTTTCCGCCCCATTTGTATTGAAAATCCTGACCTTGGTGTTGGCTGGCAGTTGTTTTGAGTTCCAGATGTTCTTCAGTTGTAGATATGCTGCTCTTGCTTCATCGATCCGCGCCTTCACATCTACATTAGATCCGTCGTGTTCACCAACGATGCTGCTCAGATATGTGAAGATTTTTACATCATCTCAAGCTTCTCTGTCAAGTGCGATTCGAATAACCAGATCATCTGCGAAGTCTAGATCGTCCAGCTGCATCCTAGCTGTCCATTGTATCCCACGCTTCTCCACAGATGTTGACGTCTTTATGATCCAGTCGATCACCAGGAGAAAGAGAAAGGGTGAGAGTTTGTAAATTGCCTGACACTGGTCCTTACTTCGAACGAGTCCGTCAGCTGTTCTCCACATATGATTTTGCAGTCGAATCCATCATAAGATCTCCGTATGTTATTGACTATCTTCTCAGGTACGCCGTAGTGTCGAAGAAGCCTTTATAGTGTTGTCCTGTCCACGCCGTCAAATTATTATTATTATTATTATTATTATTATTATTAATGGCTTTATTCAATGCTTTCTCGTAGTCAATGATGTTGATGTAGTGATGAATTCCATTCAATTGATTGTTCCACAATTATCCGAAGAGTTGAGATTTGGTCTTTACATGATCTATCCTTACGGAATCCTACATGTTGGTCTCGAAGTTGGGCGTCTACGGAGTCCTTCATCCTGTTTAACAATACCCCGTTGAAGACTTTTCCTGGTATTGAGAGAAGAGTGATGCCCCTGTGGTTGTCACAGTTGATGAGATCGCCTTTCTTTGGTATTTTGACCAGAAGTCCTTCTTTCCAGTCTGTTGGTACTTGTTCCTCATCTCAAATCTTGCTGAAGAGAATGTTATAAACTTATAGTTATCTAATGATCACTTCAAAGTATATTCACAAAACTTATTTGATGGATCACTTTTCTTATTGATCATCCTGAATCTTTGCAGAGCTTGAACTTAAATTTCATTATCGATAGTTATTGAGATAACATCTAGACAAAAAATGCATAGTTGTAGTTGAAATTGTAGACAATTAATTTTTTTGGAACAACCGTGTGTTCTTCTTCCTACTCATTAGTGATTCACTTTCAGATTCATCAGTTTGATGGATTTCACTCGTAAAAACATATTATTTATCACAATTTAACTGTTTTGAGACCGTCATGAAATTTCTTAACCAACTATCATCTATAGCGGTTTATTTAAACAGTAGATATATTATTAACAGTTAAATAAATAAATAAATATCACGTTGTTATCACGTGCATTACATATTTTACCGTGTTAGATGGATGATTTCGTATGCCCATAGTTACATCTAAGTTATAATCAATACATGAAATCATTTGAGAGACCAAATGTATTCACATCATAAAATAAGTATGTAATTTCAACGTGAACTGTAGGATCACTAAAACGTGTAAGTACTGAATGATCACTTAATTTTAGATCATGACTCTAAATTTGTGCGTTTACCCGACATCACACTAGATGAGACCCAGGAAATTGTGAACACGTCAACTTCAGACCAGTTAGTAAGAAAATAATGATCCATATTGCTAACTACAGTCAGCTCGTGATATTTTCTAACTTTCTTGAAACTAGTCACTACTGAACACATTATTATTACTAGGAGAGATTTGTGGACTATTCATTCCCTAAATGGCTGAATTTGTGAAGGTCATTAGATGAAGGGGAAACTCAACAGATTTTCAGTTCGTGTTAATTTTTGGTGACTCTGAATAACTCGATCTTAAAATAAAGAGTAAGAGAAATTCAGATTAAAGTTAGTAAAAAGTCAAGTTTTAAGTAACAAAGTTACAAAACATAAATGACAGAGTTGATTAATTAATTTAACAATCTTGGTGATAATTCTAATTTTTTTATCAAATGTAGGCCAAATGTTTACTAATTGTTCACAAACACTATTTCATACAAGTCTATACTCAAATATTAATAATTCCCAAACACAAATGTTAAATGCCGATATTGTACCATATAATAATTTATGGAGATCTGCATCATTCGGCAACGAAACCGAGCTATTACAGCCAATTAATAATGAGTTCCAAACAAATATACCACATTCTATAACTACAACGTTCTTACCATTACATCAGCATCCATTACATTATCATCATCAATATTCTACCACAACAGCACCGCCACCGCCACCACCTTATCCAAAGGATCATAGACTGATTAACTCATGTACTGCATCAAAACAAATAAAATATCACCTGGGAGAGTTGGGAAAATCAGACGAATATGTTGTAAGATCTCCTTCAAAGTACGTTCTTGGTGTTACTGGTTTGTCATGTTTTCTTGTATATAAAACTTAGATAGACTTTTTAAGCGCGTTTATTGAATGAATGAAGACTAAAGTCAGCAGGACTGTAACTGTTATTCTATAAACATTTATGTAAATTTAGATATATTGACTCGAACTTGAGTTTTTTTTCATAGACTTCGTATTGTTAGGGATACATTATTTCGAAATAATTTAATTAGATTTTAACTAGTCGGTTGAACGATCACGATCTTACATTTGGAGTGTTTGAAAATAAAGTGGAATAGTTGACTATCGCCTTTCTGGTTTCTTTCACTTTGCTTTTTTCAACTGATATCAGACACAGGCAATCTAAGGATATTTATTAAATGCTGATTTTCAGACTGGATACTTTTTCATTGGTGAAGCACACACATCACCAAAACTAGTAGTCTCACAACATAAAATAGATAAATGTTGTTTATTTCAGCATTTTAACTCGAAGTAGACTAGGTTAGCGTTCACAAAGAAACCTAATTACATCAAAGTGCCAAATGCCAATAATTGGTTTTATTAATTACGTTAATCGCTATTAGCTTGAAGCCATTACATCTTAACACAAAGTAGTACACTTTAATCCTAAGATTCGTAATTATAGAAAAAAGGAATAGCACTTGGATGCTTGTTTTAGTCTCATACATATCATCTTATGTTAGTGATCTGGACTTTACACCTCAAACTATAATACCTGAAGAATTATTAAAAGCCATAAGGCCTTGACACCGTTGGTTCGTTACAGTTTGGGACTATCAATGATGTAAATCACTAGTTTTTTTGGGAATCATTAATTTGTCAGTAGCTTCTTCTTGGACTAGTTTCGCATAAAGTGTTGGTGAGAAATAGACTATAGATAGTTATCAGACAACAGTTTTGAATCCAGTTTTCTATTGGATAAAGAATGTTTATCAAAGGGAGATGGTAAACTGAAACAAAACAGTTCAATCTTTCATCATTTTCACTTATTTTTCCACTGGCATCCGTTTTCATTGTAAACTGAATAGCAAGCCCCATGACATGAAAAGAATATTCATAAGAACCGAAATAATATATACTTGACTTTATTCGTTCTTAATATTTTACTAAGGACTGTTGTAAAATAATTCCTTTACCCAATTGAAAGTGCTGTCTGGTGTTATTCTGATAGGAAATGTAAGAAGATTCATCACAAGCAAGAATTTTATAAAACTGAGTTCTTATATTCTAATCAACTTCAAAGAAAGAGCTAAAATAAATTTGTACAAGTAATTAGAGAAACGTTTTAATTCAAAACATGAATCAGTGACTTATTGGTTAAATGGCTATAATTTAGACTGGTGAATCGTAATCTTTAATTCAAATCAGAGTAAATTTTCGGGCCACTGAGTCTCAAAACAAGTACTCGTATACTGAAACATTGCCAAAAGACAAGTTCACAAGTATATACATCGTTGCTGAGTTAAACTAAATCTTAAATTGGGCTCATCGTCAAATGTGAAATATGCAAATTTCACTTGTCTTCAGCAGTTAGAACAATCTGAATTCACCTTAAGTATAGTTATTGTACCTTATTTTAGAATTAAAAACCTTATTGAAATATTTTCTTTTGTTTTAGGTTATTACTGAAGAAAACTGTAGGAAAAGAGCAAAATACTAAGATAATCACTAATTTCAATAAGAAAACTGGAACAAAGCGTGGTGATAACCGGAAGCTTTATAGAAGAAAACATAAAGAGCATCTAGGTATGGTCAACAACCATCTCACTCTAGATCACTATACCAAAAATGACAGGAACAGACATTATATTCTTAGTGTATATTCTGATGGTAGTGTATCAGAATCAAGCGGTATGTATACGGTCAAACACTGTGGGTACCGCAACAAGAAACATTCAAAACATTTTGATAGTAAGGCACAAATTATTGACTCTGATTCTCCTGCTACAACTGATGTAAGTATTACTCATACTAGCAAACGTTCGAGGAAATGTTTCAACGAACATTTTATGCACACAGAACATATTCAACGAGTTAGCCATTCACATAAACATAAAACATGTCATTTTCATTCAAAAACACGACCGGAAAAACACACAGATTTATTAAACAACAAAATTCAGTCATTAAGTGGCAGTCTGTGTAGCACAGCTAATAACGATACTAAGTGTGATAAACGTGTCAGAGATTTTGAAAAGAAATTTGATGCTAAAATTTGTACTGTATCATCATTGAATGAAAGATATACGATATCTCATAGTGAATCCAATCCACTGAATTTATCTTTCCTAGCAAGAGAGAATACAACCAATAATATGAATCGTTCATTTTCTTCATCTGATATACCTTATACGAGACATGGAGAATACATTTAAATGATCTCAATCAGCGGAACATCCTACAGTAGTATTCATCTTTACATCGAGTAAATACGCTTATTCTCAAGAAATAAAAGGGTACACATTCGGAATATTAACATGAAATGTGTACATATTTTCTCTTAAATAATATTACATATATAAATAAACAAATGAAATTACTTTAAGACACCGTGAGCTGCTGTACAGTACTTTCATTAGTCAATCAAAAGAAAAGCCTACCTCATTCTTAATAAATAAAACTCCATATTTCTCCTTACTTAATTATTAAACTCAGGAAAATTTTATATTACTCGTAAATAGATTTATTAGAAATATATAATGTTACACTTTTTTCGAATATTGGTAGATATTTAGTTAACTGAACACAAGCATTTCTAGAGGAATGTATTTTAGAAACCACCGACTATTTGATCGATCAAGTGAATAAAAGGATGGAAGATATTTCTACTTATAACCAATTCAAAGTTTTACAATGGAATATGTATCCGACTTTTCAGTAGAGAAGTCAGCTGTTCATCAGTAAGGGTTCAAGGTCGGAAATACACAACTTAGTGGATTATTAATCTAAACAATCACAAATGTAGGCTGTTAAATGACTATCAGTTTATTTAAATTACATTTCGTCTTTTTTCAAAAGATTTGTCTAGGCAAATAAGTACAGTGATCATGAAAATTATTAATCAGTTGTCATAAGAAGATATATATACTAAATGATTTGTATCACTGGCCATGAATAAGACACGTTAGTCTTTAAAGCCAAATTCTAATAAAACTCGTCGACTGATATCTTACAATATATTTCCAATTCTACTACAAAATACACAAACAGTTCAAAAACACTAGTTGGGTCACCAATATCTGGATTAATTACAGAAACGGTAATGTGGAAGCTGGTAACATCGATCCTGTCAGTAAACAGGCCTAGAATTTCGGCATACTCTGTAGACGACACATTCGTCAGGAAAACGGATAGGCTGCAAGCACTTACAATAACATCGATAACATAAATTTCGCTTTGTGAATGGGATCAAGTAACGAACTATTTTTTTCTTGAAGGTGTTGATCATCAAAATCAATATAGAGAAACTCAAGACTGGAAAGCCTACTAACCCTAACCAAATCCTCAGTTACAAAAGGAACAAACCAATGACTCAAATTAAGCTGCATAAAACAGTATTTCATACGATTAAAATAAACTGGGACCTCATTGAATAAATACAATGGTGTCTGTGTTAAGTTACTGTGTTACTTTTCTTACATAGGAGATTTTTAATAACTATTATTGAAGTTATGTGATTTCTATTTCAGGCGGCCGAAACTTCTATGCTGAGGATTACGTATTTGTCTTCGAAAAGATTATCCCCTCTACATGTAGTGAAAGCAAGAGATAGAAAAGGCTTGGATGTCATATAATAAACAGCAATTGGTTGAAGATATTAAAGGGACGGGACCGAGAGATGATGATTAGTCAGAGAATCAGTATTAGAGGAGATCTGTTATTAGTAGCTTTTCAAACCAGTTGGTTGAAACATTAGGTGTAAGACGTTTAGAAAAGTTTAAAAGACTCACAGCTTTACTCGAGTTGGTTGAGATGTCATTTAAACTTGAAATGATAATTAACATGAGGTAACTGTGATATTAAAAAAGGTTCTAATTATTATACGAATTAGGAATCCCCGAAATAACACAATTTAAGTCAAGCGGATCTAGATGATTACGAACGGACGTATTGTATTTAGAATTCAAAATTAGGCACACATCAAGTACAAAAGAATCATTAGTTCATACAAACACCACAGTAACCAAGAATGATCTACATTTCTCACAACTCCAAAATACAGTACGAACTTTCAAGACTGGTATGTACTAACAAATAGCTTAAAATTGGAAGTTATGTATGTTGAACACTTTAGGTATTCAGGGTACAGAGGACCCACCCAAAGAGTTAGGAAAATTCGATTCCAAACCGACGATGCATATGAGCTCCAGGATCCTGAGAGATTAAATTGAGTATAAACCTATTCTTGATCATCGACCAACATGGGACCGCATCTTCTAACAGTGGCCAATTGTCTTGTGGATTATATATTTGTGCCAAAGGCTTGGGTAGTGGCCACTTAAGAAAAATACAAGTTTCAGCCTATACAAAATGCATCATTCTAGCCCAAACATGAATTTGGTGTTTTATACCAGTGAAAACATTTTCGCTTTGATTCACATTCTTGCGAATCATATTCACGAATGCTTGGTAAAATTCATTTTCGCTCCACATTGCGCCACGTGTTAATTTCCTCTTATCCCCATTTTCTGTATTTTGTTCCCCATTTCATACAGAAAATCGTCAGTGGTGGAAGTTCTGTCTTTCTAAACGGCCCGAAGTTAGTAACTGGTCAAAAGTTGAATGCTACCACCGACTACAATTACTGAAACAGTCTTTCTGAAACCACTCACACCATTCAAACTGACTTCCTTCAACGTTCGCATCCTAATGCAGATTGAATAACAGATACGGTTGGTTGTGTCTTTAGAAAATCTGAACACCGATGTCTGTTGCCTATCCTAGACCCATTCTCAAGACTCTAGTAAAGTATAACATATTCACTCTGCATTTTTCAATTTGCACAGATTATCTCATATGCACTAATCCGTGAACTCTTTAGCATCTTCGTCTTGTTTTGCTGGAGTTAATGTCGCATTAAACGCAAAAACTGAGGCAGCACTAATGGACTGTACCTCTATTAACAGTCGATTATACGCTGTCAGATTGGATAGCCTCATCAAAGTGATAAATCGAGGGGAGAAACGATACCTTTTTTTCAACAAGCATTGTAGCTTCATCCAGAAAATCACCTGCGTCATTTGGATGGCCGGAAGGGAATCCTTGATTTCAAATCAGAAAGCAGTGACCATCTCCTCCAGCTTCGCACAGATCACGACCTGTTTCTGATCAACAACAACTTTCAACGCAGCCATCTCCGATATGTTACCTAGAGGTCTCCCTCTAAAACTCAAGTCTGAATTCATATTGACCAAATAGCGATCTGCTAGAGCTGGTATATTTTTGCACAAGACTTCTGCTTCTTTTGAAGTGGTTATCTGTACTCTGACCATGCACTTGTTTGCGCTAATCTCATCTTACGTTCCAGCCCCTAACAGATTCATCTTCCCAGGCGGATCGATGTAAGTAAGTCGACAGAAGCATTTGATGCGACGAAGTATCAAAACCAAGATGAATTTAACGCTGGCTATAAACCCACTTAAAATCATGAATGAGCACTGGCCGCACTTACACGACGTTAAAGACATAGCGGGCAAAGTCGACCATAGCTTCGCGAAACGTTCCGCCCATAGGCACTGTGTTTCTACAAGCTCCTTAAAACTTCGTAATGCACATCGGTCCATTACGGTTGACAGTGAGTTTGATGATAGACGTAGATACCTAGGTAATGAAATTAAGCAAGGTATGTGTAGGGACTGAGAAGCCTCGTGGTAAAACCACGCTAACATACTGGAAGTAGCAGGTGAATTTTATAACTGCCGGGAGCTCTTTCGACTCATTCGAGTCAATGGTAGCTAGCAGCCTGATATTAGTGAAACAATCTGTAGTGATAGAACACTAATCAGTAAAACATACTGGCGTCCTGAATATTAAAAGAGTTCTTCAGGGATCTGTTAACCTGGCCCAATATCCAAGCAACATCGATCCGAATGTTCCGCCATCCATGGATGGTGATGGTTGATTAGTCGCAAGTTTGCAGGGAACTCCAGCTCCAGAAGCGCAATAGATTTCAGGCCTGGGCGACTTATCACCGATTCTTTTTAAAGATATAGATGAACTACTGTTTACAGAACTTCGAAATGTGGATGAGGTAAATAATGATCAAATGTTTACCTAATCAGACTAGTGGATAGTCTGATAGGCATTAGTTATGTTATACATTTCCCAACCCTTATTGTTATTTTAAAAGTTGTCAGTTGTTGATATGAAAATACACTCATGCTCTATTCAGGCCAATCACGTGTTCGTGATCCCAGCTGTGCTGAAGTCCTGTAAAATAGACATTTGAACAGCATCTAGCGCAGGTATTCGGCTAAAACAAATGAGTGCTTCATTGTTGTAAGCGAGAAAACTGGGATTTATTTCAGACTGGTTGCAAACTGTTTCAAAAGTTCAAAAATTGAAGACAGTTTCAAAATCCTGGAATGTTGCAATAGATTATCTGTCTTTAGAATTATCTACTTCGCCTAAGCTACAACAACTACTAAGGGAAAGGTTTGCTTTCGACTGCATCCAAAGTACTGCCTTCCATCAAACGTCGCAGGTTTTTCAAAACACGGGAAAGACTGAATCGTAAAAACACCGGCTGCTTTTCTTCCTGGTTGAGGATGTATCGATCATATTTTACCGTCGTCAAAGATATGAACGCCAGTCGTTTTTGAAGTCGCTACTGTAATATACGACGCAGACAAGTCTAACAACATTGATTTCAGTCGCGCAAACAAAACCGATCCTCCAACATAATGAAGGTGTGTTTAGTAGATCTGTCACTGCTCATCGGCGCATTGAAAGAATATGTGCTCCAACAATCAAATCCCAAACCACGCTGAAAAATCAAATATATTTATTGATGTAATTGATATATTTCTTATTGAAGTAAAGAACAAATCTATGGTAGGGGAAGGTCAACAAAGTCCCTGATTAGGTAAACTCTGGACCATGTTCAAATGTTCTTCATCAGATTCCATTCATTCTAATGACCCGATCATGTCGAGTGAAATTCAAAATAATTGAGAAGAATGTTTCAAATAAATCAAATTCTAAGCTATTGGTGTCATATTAGTTGCTTGTCTTCGCAATTCACTTTTCAGTGAATTTTCTAATCAATGTGAGAATTATAACTTAAATGAGTCACATCCAGTTCACATTCCTGATGTCGTTATGGCAGGTATCGAATGTTTGCATATCTCATGGAGTTCAAGTAGAATCATGAAAAGGTCTAACAAAGTTAATCAATCTAGGGCATTTTTGGCGCTTTCATCTTCTTAGTATAGCTGTAAAACGTTATGTTTACAATACGTTAGTGAGGGCAGTTTTGTCTTGTGCTTGTGAAACCTGGTCTCCAAGTTGATGATGTGCAACAACTCTCGGAATTTGATTATCGTGGTCTTTGAAGGGTTGCCAACATTCACTGGCAACACCATGTTAGTGATGCT